TAATAACACTGCAGTTGTTAAAATAAACGCAGGACAGTTTTCAGACATATACATTTATTAAACAAAATTTTCGGGAGCGCCTGCTGCCTTCCCCAGCGTACGAGTGTCACTGATTCATAGATAGCATACTCAACCAATTACTCCCCAATGTACCTAGCTTCATTCAGGACACAACTCACTTTTTCAAGAAACTTATCGACATTGATATATTGCCCTATAACTATGTATTAGTTACAATGGATGTTACCGCTTTGTACACCAATATTCAACACGAAAACGGTCTCACCTCTTGTAAAGAATTTCTAACAAAAATTTCTTCATGACTCCGACATTCAAGACAATTCATTTCATCACATAACCACTTTCACTTTAATGAAAAACATTACAAGCAAATTAAAGGCACGGCCATGGGCACAAAAATGGCACCAGCATACGCCAATATCTACATGGCCTACTTTGAAGATTCGTGCGTTTACCGACACCCCCTACAGCCTTTACAGTACGTCAGGTATATCGATGACGTATTTTTCATTTGGCCACATGGCGAAGATTCTCTCCAAGAGTTCATAAGTTCCATCAACAACACCCATCACAACATCCGTTTCACCGCAAGCCAATCATTCACTGATATCGCCTTCCTCAACGTTCTTGTATGAGTCAATAATGATCGTATCAACACCACATTATATACCAAGCCTACGGATAATCATACCTACCTGAACTACAAAAGTGCCCATCCTGAAAACATTAAACTTTCCCTAATATATAGCCAGGCCCTTAGAATGAAGCATATTTGCTCCACCACAGATGAACAAAACAAACATATTGGCACTCTCATTAGCAAATTGATTCAAAGTGAGTATCCACTAAAAGTTATTAAACACAATTTAGATAAAGCCTCCCATAAATCCCGTGAACAACTCCTCATGTACAATCCCAAAACGGAATCCAAACGTTACCTATGTCGACACTCTTACCCTGAAGAAGGCGGCAGGCACTGCCATAAATTTTGTTTAATAAATGTATATGTCTCAAACTATGTCAAAGTGTCTGGTGTTTATTTTAACAACTGCAGTGTTATTCTATACCATTGAGGCATACGTGAAATATCATCAACTACATCAATTAAGCGCTACATAAATATATAAAACCTATGCCTATAAATGAATTCAAAATATACAATTAGTTAGTCAATATACAATAGTTGTTAACACTATAATTTGCACATCACTATATAAATATATAACTCTGAATTACTAAGAGTTTTATTGTACTACTTACTGTACAATAATAACTGAGAAACTTTTATGTATTAAAACTGAATTTAAAAAAAAAACATTAAGAAGTAAAATTATGTAATAAAGTAACGTGAAATAATAATTTAAAACAACAACCTGATTAAACGAAAGGTCCACTGATTAATCTCAGATAAGATAGTATAATACATACTCCAAGTATCGAAATGCACGCCATCGTGTTAGGATTCAACCTGATTAATTGTACCTTAATTGTGACCGTACTACTCTGATATGACCTACACATTTTTTTTTTATAAGAACACATTTTAAAGGAACACAGAGACTGAGATTTCTCAAAAAATAAAGACACAAGAAGAACAAATTAAGGCTGGGTTAAAATGTCAAATGAGTTTATATATAAAATAAAAAATCAAGCTAGTCACATATGTTAAAAATTAAAAACACTTAGCCTGGGATAAATTTTACTGGTTCTTATTTTTAAAAATGTATAGTAAAATGATGCCTTCTGACCAATTTTGTTTTTGTATACTAACCTACGGCTATGAAGTTAGGACCAATATAGAACTGATGTTTTGCTTGACTTTATTCAAATTTCAACTAGCTCTGTATTGCACTACGGTCTACAAGATTAGCCGACTTTCTAACCTCGATAAACCTATCATAACATAATTATAATAATATAATACAATCTCACCCGTAGGCCACCTATAAGTTAATTCCACATGTATTTTATATTAAGTTTGTATTTTTGCTTGCTTTTACCAGACGGCAACGTTTCAAGCAGCTCTTATCACTGATGGTGTTTATAGTTTTGTTATCTTCAACTACGAGATTGGTGGTATGCTGTGGAATCCAGATGTTCTTGCTCAGAAAAACCTTGTGATCGGTTATGGTGTTGGTGCAAATGCTAATAGAACATTCAACAATGTCCAGTTGGATTCAAGATTATTTCCAACTGAAGATTCAAGATACTTTCCAGATTCAACAAGTAACACAGGCTTAGATGGCCAATGGTTCTTTAGACTTGAGGACAATAATGAGAATACTATTAATTACAGACAGTATTGTATGAATTGGAGGCAGACTGAATCTGATGACTTGTATTGGTTAGATCGCCTGGGAACCTGTCCTTGTGCGTTTGGTCAAGGTTCAAATGATCTAGGATTTGGAAGGGGTAGACGGGGTCGTCGAGGAAGAAATCAAGACGCAAATGGAAACGGGCAAATGAGTCCACTTTCACCTGAGCTTCTTAATGATATTGAAAATATTTCAGGTAAGGCATTCATGTTATAATTATTGTTATAATTATTATCATTATTGTATAATGATAAAAATACTTCTACCCAGTTAAGTAATTAAACAAATCCACTTTCACCTGAGCTTCTTAATGATATTGAAAGTATTTCAGGTATGTACATTCATGTTATAATTATTGTTATAATTATTATTGTTATTATATAATCATAAAAATACTTCTATCCGGTTATGTAATTAAACATTCCATGAAAAAACAGAAATGTATTTGTGTTTGTTTACGTCCTACAGGCACTCCATTTTGCCTGCAGACACAAGTGGCCTCCGCTTCAGGGGCAGGCATGAGATGCTGTTACAGAGGAGATGGCTCATTAATAGAAGGATATGAAAACGATGTATTTACAAGTAGTTTTGTTCAGCGATATCAGTTTGTAGAAGGGCCATTCTTCAATTTCTGGATATATTTATATTGGTTATGTGAGTATATTGCGACATCTGAAGTATTTACAAGATACACACTATTTATAAACTTAATATTGATAAAAACTAGTTGAGTAATAAAAATAACTGTTAGATTTAATTTGAATAAAAGGATAATCAGATTTAAACGTACTATGGAGGTATGAAATTACGCCTAATCATATTTTATACCTTCATGAACTTAGTGTACCGTATGATGTGTTATTCAATCGAAAGTACACTGTGCGCAGTTGGTGAAGATATACGATTTCTTTATTCTTTCTATTTTTTTTTAGTTTATAATAGTTCTGGCAAACAATACAAGAAGAACATACATGAAAACATAAAAAAAAAGAGATCAAAAAAAAAAATTAAAACCAACTGCTATTAGCCCAGGAGAGACCAAATAGCGCTAGCTAATAGTAAAGGCCTTTCCAACAATACAATCAAAACCCACAGATAAAGATTAAATTACAGCACTTGAAAAAAAATAAGAACATTTATTTTAAAACTGGATAAAATTTATGAAACATGTGATAATAATTTCTTTTTAAAACTTTGTGCGTGATCAAGAATTAATGATGTTGTTAGAAAGGCGATAGCTATTCCACTGAACTGTGACAGATGGGAAAATGATGATTAGTATGCACGGGTATGCATTTTGGAACTACAAGAGGTTTTGAGTAATCATTTTGTCTGCTTCGGCGCCCTGGTTCAATTAAACTGCCAGGAGTTAATAATGGATATTATTTACGAATCTGAACAATGTTCCAAGTTTGAGTACCAAACGTCTGGATTCAAGGGTTATAATATTCATATTCTTACACCTACTTGGATACAAGATTTCCCAATTCTAACAACTGACTTTTAGAGCAAATCATTAAACTGATTCAAGCTGTTTAATATGTTTACAGTATGTGGGGTCAAAAACTTGGCAAGCATATTCTAGTCTAGGTCTAATAAAGTATAGGTAGTATAAAGTTTTAGGAGTGTCTTTAGATCCGCACTCGTTGTAAAATTGTCTGTAATTATATCCAAGTTGTTTTGATATTTCACAAATGATATCAATATTATGTGACCAATAAAGATCATTAGAGATATTGATTCCAATATATTATCTATAAATATTAACTTCCTCGATCTCATCAGCTCCATTAATGTTTTGAATTTTGGACGATTAGACTTATGAGATATGAACTTTGTTTCTTCGTATTCAGTTTTAAATCGTTTTCAGAGATCCAACAGCTAACTTTGTTGATGTCATTCTGAAAGGGTTCTTTAGTGTCAAATTAGGTGGCAAGTAAAGCACCATGTCATCAGCAAATAGAATAAGTTGGGCTCTAGAAAGAGGAGTATTAGTGACAGAATCGATGTAAGAAAGAAAAGGGAGGGGCCCCACGATGGAGCCTGAGGAACACCAGAAACAGTAGGAACCCATTCATAATAACATTCATCAATTAAAACACATTGCAAACAATTATTGAGGTAACTAGTAAGAAAGCCAAATAATGCAGGATTGATTCCGGTTACATATGAATGGTTAAGAGACTAGAACGGAACTGAATCAAAAGCTGTATAAAGATCAAAGAAAATACAACCAACATCACTGCTCGAGTCAAGTAATCCATGCCATTCATTAACTGCAGTGACTAGAGCGGAGACAGTTAACCTACCTCACCTGATGCCATATTGTGTATCATTAAATCCACCAACCGATATAATGTTTTTAAGAGTAGTATAAATGTGCTTTTCAAAAATTGTTCTTACAGTATTGGCAATAAAGGATTAATTAATTAATTAGAAGGTGATGAACGATACCATCTTTATGTATTAGCACTATAGGCCTATTAGACTTTTTAAAATCTAAAGGAACATGGCTTTGTAATATAAATTTATTAAAGATCATGACTAGAGATGCCACGATAAAATAACGAATGCAATTTTCTTAATCAATACCATTGTAACTACTAGCAGATTTGGCATTGGATTCCTTTAAAAGGGCTTCACCAATATCTGAAGTACATAAAATATCACACAATAATTGTCAACATTTGGTACAGGGTTAACATCATAAATTGTAATAACATGGTCAGTATTAAAACATGAAAGAAAACAGTTTGCCTTGTCAACATTGTGTGAAACTTGAACATCATTATAAATGAGGTCAGGAATGATATTTGGTTTTTCCATAAAATTATTTATTCACTTTCAGAATAACTTAAGCGTTGGGTCTTCAGAAACTCTTTTAAAATAGTTATGTTTGGTAAGACGCAATTCCTTAAGTACTAAGTTTCTCTTTTTACAAAATTTGAACCAATGTTGTTGCCTGCCAGACATCTTGGCACGACGGTAGAGATTTTAAAATGAGAAAGCTTCAACTTCTATGAAATAATAACTATTTATACCTTTTTGTTTTAGATTTTGATTTAATTCCTCAATATGTTTGCTGTGAAAGATCAAATGATCCTTACTACTGTAACCTGTACTCGGAGGTTCGGCCTAAAGGAACATGTAACGGTTATCTTCCACCAAATACAGGTACCTAATGAATGGGTTTATTC